GAATATGCTAGAAGGTGCAAAATTCATTGTTAAACATAGTATGTAAACCATGCACAGCTTTAGTATGATGATTGAAACACAAAATAACTAAACTAATATCTACATTATTATGTTACAAGACACTTGATGTGGAAAGATGCAAATGGGAGATCAAAAATTCAAAATATGGGGCGGGCACCGTGGCATACCAGGTAAGGCCACCGCCTGCAGTGCCAGCATCCCATATGGGCACCAGTTTGAGTCCTGGCTACTCCACTTCCTATCCAACTCCTGCTGTGGCCTGGGAAAGCAGTGGAAGATGGCTCAAATCCTTGGGCCCCTGCACCCACGTGGGAGAACCAGAGGAGGCTCCTGGCTCCTGGCTTCAGATCTGCACAGCTCCGGCCATTGCGGCCATTTGGGAAATGAACCCATGGATGAATGATGTCTCTCTGTGTCTCTACCTGTATCAGTGACGTCTCTTTTCTCTCTAAATATATCCTCTGTTTTTCACTTTATAAATAAAAATTAAATAAATGTCCGAATCCCATAAACACAAAGGAACTTCGATGAGGGACAAAGGTGGACAAGGAAGGAATGAAGGAGGGAGGGAGGAGAGAGAGGAAGGGAGGGAGGGAGGGAGGGAGGGAGGGAGGGGGAAAAAATCTACAGTAGTAAGACTTTACTATTGCAATTACCTTGAATGTAAATGGATTAAAGTCTCCAATTAAAAGAGTTACTGAACTGATTAAAAAGCAAAACCCTAATATATGCTGCTTACAAGAAACTCTCTTCCCCTTTAAGAACATGCATAGCCTGAAGTTGAAAGAATAGAATAAGGTACAACAAATAAACAGAACCCCAAATAAAGAAGGAATAGACATACTTTTCAAATGAAATAAGTTTATAATCAAAAGTAGTGAAAAGAAACAAAGAAGATCATTATATGACAATCAAGGGTTCAATTCAACATGAGGAAATTACATTTATAAATGTATATGCACCAATTATCAGAATGTCCAAATATGTAAGCAAATATTAATAGACTGAGTTTGGGAGGTAAGACTCCAATACAGTAGTAGTAGGAAATATTAACACTCCACTTTCAGCAATTAATAGATCATCCAGGCCGGCGCCGCGGCTCAATAGGCTAATCCTCCGCCTTGCGGCGCTGGCACACCGGGTTCTAGTCCCGGTCGGGGCGCCGGATTCTGTCCCAGTTGCCCCTCTTCCAGTCCAGCTCTCTGCTGTGGCCAGGGAGTCCAGTGGAGGATGGCCCAGGTGCTTGGGCCCTGCACCCCATGGGAGACCAGGAGAAGCACCTGGCTCCTGCCTTCGGATCAGCACGGTGCGCTGGCCACAGCGCACTGGCCGCGGCGGCCATTGGAAGGTGAACCAACGGCAAAAGGAAGACCTTTCTCTCACTGTCCACTCTGCCTGTAAAAAAAAAAAAAAAAATAGATCATCCAGACAGAAAGTCAACAAAGAAACAACACAAACTGTACCCTAGACCAATTGAACCAAATTGACATCTACAGAACATTCTGTCCAGCTGCTGCAGGGTACACATTCTTCTCCACAACACTTGAGGAATTCTCCAATGTCGATCAGATGATAAAACAAAAAACAAGTCTCAACGTATTTTTGAAAATAGAAATCATATCAACTATTTTTTCTGGCCACAAGAAAAGTATTTTTCTAGCTTCTAGAAATCAATAAAAAGAGAAACTTCAGACACTACATAAATATATGGAAATTAAACAACTTAATCTGAACAACTGATGGATCTAGGAAGAAATAAGAATGGAATTTTAAAAATTCTTGAAATAAATGAAAATGGAAACAATATAGCAAAATCTATGAGCTACAGAAAAAGCATTACTAAGAGGGAAGTTTAGGAGCAGGCATTGTGGTGCAGCAGGTTAAGCCACCACTTGGGATGCCCACATCCCTTAGAGTGAGTAAAGTCCCACCTCCACTTCTGACCCAGCTTCCTGCTAATGTGCCTGAGTCAGTAGATACTTGGGTCCCTGCCACACACATGGAGACTAAGATGGTGCTTCTAGCTACTGGCTTTAGCCTGGCCTAACCTTGCAAGTGAAGTAGTGGATGAAAGATTCTCTCTCTCTCTCTCTCTCTCCCCCCTCCCCCGTAACTCTGACTTTCTAGTAAATAAAATAAATCTTTTTTAAAAAAAGAAATGAAGAATTAAATTAGTCAAATATTAAATACAATGGAAAGCTTTAATAACAGACTGATGCAGGCTAAAGGAGTAATCCTTGGAACTATCTCAGTGAGACAAAAAAAAAAAAAAAGGAAGAAGAAGAAAATAGAAAAACTGAATACCGTGTTTGAGATTTATGGGATACTATCAAATGACCAAACAGAGACTGAACAACATGCTCCTGAATGAACAGTGTGTCACAGAAGAAATCAAAAAGTTCCTAGAAAAGAATGATGATAAAAATACAATATATCAAAACTATGGAATGTAGCAAAGCAGTGTTAAGGTGGAATTTTATAGCAATTAGTGCTTACATCAAAAAATTGGAGAGGTATCAAATAAATGATCTAGCAATGTGTCTCAAGGACCTAGGAAAACAAGAACAAGCCAAACCCAAAATTAGTAGAGGAAAAAAATAAAATCAGAGAGGAAATAAACAAAATTGAAACCAAAAAAAAATTTAAAAAAAAAAACAAAAAACAAAAAATGAAGAGCTGTTTGAATAAAAAAACAAAATTTATATACCATAATCATCAGGACTTGTTACAAACAGCTATATGCAAGCAAATTGGAAAATCTAGAAGAAAGGGATAGATTTCTGAACACGTACAATCGCCAATCACCAAAACTGAATCATGAAGACATAGAAAACCTAAATAAATAAATAACCAAGATGGAGACTGAATCAGTAATAAAGAGCCTGCCATCCAGAACTGGATGCCTTCACTGCTGAATTCTAGCAAACCTTTAAAGAACTAATTCCAATTCTTTTCTAATTATTCTGAACAATTAAAAGGGAAGGAGCCCTCCCAAACTCCTTCCATGAGGCCAACATCACCTAAATTCCAAAACCAGAAAAAGATTCAGCAGGGGCCAGCACTATGGCATTGTGCGTTAATGCGGTTACCATTAATTGTGGAAAGCTGGGGCCGGTGCTGTGGCGCAGCGAGTTAAAGCCCTGGCCTAAAACACCAGCATCTTACATGGGCGCTGGTTCTAGTCCCAGCTGTTCCTCTTCCAATCCAGCTCTCTGCTGTGGCCTGGGAAAGCAGTAGAGGATGGCTCAAGACCTTGGGCCCTGCACCCATGTGGGAGACCTGGAAGAAGCTCCTGGATCCTGGCTTCAGTCAGCGCAGCTCCAGCCATTGCAGCCATCTGGGGAGTGAACCAGTGGATGGAAAACCTCTCTCTCCCTGTCTCTACCTCTCTCTGTAACTCTGTCTTTCAAATAAATAAAATAATCTTTAAAAATAATTGTGGAAAGCTGTCAGTCATTTACTACTTCACATATTTCTTCTGTTCCTGTCTCTTTTCCTTGTCCTTTGTGGGGTGTGTGTGTGTGTGTGAGGAACTCCCTGATATCTTTCTTTCTTCTATGTAAATTCATTTCATCTTTCTTCTAAATATAGATCAACAATTTTAGCTTCCACATATGAGAGAAAACATGTGATATTTGTGTTTCTGTGTCTGTAGCCCAATTTTTTTTTTTTACCCTTACAAGTCATTTGGTCTTTTTGTCTGGAGTCTGAGGAAATTCTTTTTTTAAAGATTTATTTTATTTATTTGAAAGACAGAGTTACAGAGAGAGGTAGAGACAGAGACAGAGGTCTTCCTTCCACTGGTTCACTCCCCAAATGGCCACTACAGCTGGAACTGAGCTGATCTGAAGCAGGAGCCAGGATCTTCTTCTGGGTCTCCCACACGGGTACAAGGGCCCAAGGACTTGAGCCATCTTCTGCTGCTTTCCCAAGCGCATTAGCAGAGAGCTGGATTGGAAGTAAAGCAGCCAGGACTCAAACCAGCGCCCGAAGGGGATACCAACACTTCAGGCCAGGGCTTTAACCCTACTGTGCCACAACACCTGCCCCAAGGAACTTTTTTTCTTTGTCTTTACTGTCTAATAGTTTTACTAGGATACATATTAGAATTGGCCATTCCATTTTTCCAGGCTTGGAGATGTATTTAGTTTTGTCTTATTTCTAGATGGTTTTCTTGGATTATGTTTTAAATATTAGTTCTGTCCCAAACTTTTGTTCATTTCTTTTTTCTTCCAGCCCTTTAATTATACATGTATTGGCATTTTGCCCTGTCTTCCATGTCTTTTTATAATTTTTTCTTTTTTTATTTTTTATTTTTTTGACAGGCAGAGTGGACAGTGAGAGAGAGAGACAGAGAGAAAGGTCTTCCTTTGCCATTGGTTCACCCTCCAATGGCCACCGCAGCCGGCGCACTGCGGCCGGCGCACCGCGCTGATCCGATGGCAGGAGCCAGGTACTTATCCTGGTCTCCCATGGGGTGCAGGGCCCAAGCACTCGGACCATCCTCCACTGCACTCCCTGGCCATAGCAGAGAGCTGGCCTGGAAGAGGGGCAACTAGGACAGAATCCGGCACCCTGACCGGGACTAGAACCCGGTGTGCTGGCACTGCAAGGCGGAGGATTAGCCTATTGAGCCGCGGCACCGGCCTTTTTGTAACTTTTTCATGAAGGTATTAGACTGAGGAAGAAGAGAATGATTGGTCAGTTGCATATAAATTTGTAATCATAATCAGCTTGCCTTGTGATATAACCTATGTTTTCCATCTGTTGTTTTTGTTTTGGAGCTTTGGATTAAAAGCTGTTCATTTTGGTGAGAAAATGAGCCATCTGTGAAAACTAAGTGTTTTAGTACCTACTCTGGCCTCTGGAACTCAGACAAGATTTGAAGCTACTCCTGGGCCACGGCTTTCTTTTTCATTTATTTGAGTTTGACTGACTTCTTTATCACTTTGGTAATGGAGAACTATCATCCTACCCAGAACAGGTCCTCCAAGACAGAAGGAAATCCCTCCAGGGTGGGGTGAAGCAGGCTAGCGCTGGGAAGACGGAGTACCAGGATTTCCTGGATATTGTCCTTTCTGCCCAGGTAAGACTTCCAACACTGTGAGTCGGCTCCAGTAACCGGTTAATTCTGTGGGTAGATGAGTGTGTAGGAATATGGGGAGGAGACAAAAGCAGAACAAAGAAAATAATGAACAGCTCCCCAAGGAATTAAAGCCAGACTTGGAAAAAAGAAAGGGAAAAGTCCTTCCTGGGTTTCCACCTACTGGCCTGCCCTGCAGATTCTGGACTCAAAGATTGCAATACGAGTTGCAGTACCAACTGTTTCCTGATTTGCAATATCAACTCTTTCCTGATTTGCAGTACCAACTCTTCCCTGATTTGCAGTACCAACTCTTTCCTGACTTGCAATATCAATTCTTTCTTGTCCAGCCTTTTGGCCTTGACGGATTTCACAATCATGTGATCCAATTCCTTAAAATAAATCTCTGTCTCGATATACCCAAAAAACCTGGTTGACCAAATTTATTAGTTCTTTGAATTGATGAGTTGGCTCCATGTAGACTGGGGTGAAGATGGAGTTCCAGAACTCTGTCACTGGGAAGGAGCTGATGCAAGTTAAACTGCTGATTTGGCAGGACTTGGAGGTAATCAGATAGATACACAAACTCACTTGAAACTAATTTTCTGCCTTGCACCATTGTTTTGACTGGACCTCCACAAACATTATCACCAATATTCCAGACAGATTTCTCTGCTGTCTGTTCTAGCGCGAGAATGAAGACAGCTTCTCGGACGCTGACCTGCAGTCTGAGATGAATACATTCATATTGGCAGGGCACAGTACCACGGCCGCGAGCCTCTCCTGGTTTCTCTACTGCCTGGCTTTGAACCCTGAGCACCAGGAAAGATGCCGGGAGGAGATCAGGGACGTCCTGGGGAACGGGTCTTCCACCACCTGGTAAGATCCACATGGGATTTTGCTTTTGGTGAGACAGTCTTTTTCCTGGTACCTTGGTGACCGTCATGCCTGAAGATGCTTGCTCTTGGGAGCAGAAAAGGTAGATGATGTTTCTGTATCTGGAGAGCCTCAAATTATCCCTGTGTCTCTTGCAAAAGAAGCTCGCTCATCCACAAACGGTCATTGATTTTCTAATCACCTGAGCTCTGGTGTGTTGGAAATGAGGACGTGGTCCCAAGGCTGCGTCTACAGCTTCACTGGTGGGCTCGTCTCCTAAGGGCTGTGCAAGCAGCTGCACCATTTCAGTGTTCAGTCATCTTTCATATTTTTCACTGACAAATTGTGTGTGTGTGTGTGTGTGTGTGTGTCCAGTGCATATATGTAGAATGAAGAAATCAATCAATGGCCTCAGCATACTTATTTTTTGTGGTAAGGAAGTTAAAAATCTACCCTCCAAGAAATTTTCAAATGTACAACTAATTATTGATAATTGATATAATTGATAATTATTGATAATCAGATATTATGCAATAGGGCTCTTGAACATATTCTCCTAACTGAAATTTTACACCCTTTGGTCAGCATCTTTCCAATCTGTTGTCCCACCCCAGCCCCTGGTGAGCAGCATCGTACTGTTCTGTAAGTTCAACTTTTTAAGGTTCCACAAGTAAGGAGGATCAAGTGGTCTTTGTCTTTCTGTGCCTGGCTTATTCACTCAGCATAGTATCCTTCAAGTTCATCCATGTTGTCATAAATAACAGAATATCTTTCTTTTTAAAGATTAAGAAGTGTTCCATTGTGTGTATGTATGTCCCTCACATGTTCATCTCATGATGAACACTTAGGTTGACTCAATATCTTGACTTTTTGAATAATTCCATGATGAACATGAGAGTGGAGATATCTCTTCAACATACTAATTTCATTCCCTCTTGGACAGATGAGGGTACTTCCAAAAGTTCACGAAACATGAAATCAAAAGATAGGTTTATTTTGGTGTGAAAAAAAATTAAAATCCATGAATAGTTTTGCATAATATGCAAAAAGTCTTTTCATATGTCCAGAGTGGAATTGCTATATCCCACAGTAGTTCTATTATTAACTTCTTATACAATTTAAATTTTAAAGAAGCTGAGAAAAGACAGGGAAAACAAGTATGCACTCATACTTATAGAGTCTGTTATATTTGCTTTTTGCTTAATTTTAGAAATAAATGTTAATGTATATAACATGATGTTATGCAATGGATGCAGATAGTAAAATGATGACTGTAGAGAAGCAAACTTACAAATCTATCACCTTACAGAGTTACCTGTTTTGTGTGTGGTGACAGCAGCTAAAATCCATGTATTTAGAGAAATCCCTCGCAGTTGACTGTGTTAACCACAGGCCTCGTGCTGCGCATTTGGCCTCCAGACTTGTTCAGCCCACTTGTTTACTCCTCTGCATCCTCCGGTCCACACTCCCCACTCCTCCTACACTCCTGCCCAGGCGATGACTGGTTTATTCTTGACCCTTTTGTCAGATTCCACAGGTAAGTGAGTTCTCATAATGTGTTCTTCCCCGCATCTGACTCACCTCACCGCTGTGGCCTCCACGTCCAGTCAGGTGCTGATGGACGGCGTAATCTTTTCCTGAGCGTGAATGCATCCCATTGTGCACATAACCGCAGTCTGTCTGTCCGTCTGTCCTTCCATGGACACAGGTTATTTTCATCTTGCTTCCTGTGAATAAATAACACCACAGTGAACATGGAAGTCCTAATGTCTTTATGAGCTAATGATTTGATTTCTTTACAGTATATACCCAGATTAGAGCTTGCTGAATCAAATAGCAATTCTAGATTCTTCTTTTAAACTATTTTATTAATATTTTATATTTACATTTTTATTAAAATTAATATTTTATTTTATAATATATAGTGCAATATTTTATACACAGTATAATATATAGGCATAAACTGATCAAATCAGACAACTGGTCTTTCCATCTCCTTATTTTCCTCTGTGTTCAGATCCTACCAGCTCCTCTCTTCCCATTCTTTATGATACATGGTTATGCGTCACAGCCACCCCACTGTGCTGTGGAACACTGGGACTTTTCCATTTGATGGTGGTTTTTTTTTTCATTTGATGGTGTTTTGGTACCTATTACCCAACCCGCTTCTATCCTTCATCCCATTCTTCCTACCTCCTGTAATCACAATCCTAAATTCAGATTTACTGTTTTTTAATTCCCACATATCAGAGAGAATATATGGTATTTATCTTTCTGTGTATAGCTTATTTCAATTTCCATAATGATCTCCAGATCTATCCATTTTGCTGCAAATGTCATAATTTCATTCTTTTTCATGACTGAATAATATTCCTTTACACACACACACACACACACACATCACGTTTTCTTTATCCATCTACCTGATGATGGACACCTTGGTTGTTTTCATATCTTGGCTATTGTGAATGACACTGCAGTGAAAATGGGAATGCAGGTGACTGTCTAGTATGCTGATTTCATTTCCTTCACATCTATACCCATTTTTGAGATAGCTGGGTCATACGGTAGATTTGTTGTTTGGTTTTTTGAGGAAACTCCATACTGTTCCCCTTAATGGCTATGCTAAATTACATTCCCAGCAACAGTGCATAAGAGTTCTCTTTTCTCCACATTGTCACTAGCATTTGTTATTGTTTTATAATAACCATCCTAACTAAAATGAGGTGATACCTCACTGTTGTTTTGATTTGCATTTCCCTGATGGCTAGTAATATTGACTATTTTTTCATGTATTTGTTGGCCATTTGTGTGTCATCTTTTCAGAAATGTCTACTCAGCTCCTTTGTCCATTTCTTAAGTTAATTGTTTGGGGTTTTGTTGTTGACTTTTTTTAGCTCCTTATATATTCTGGATATTAATTCTTTGCCAGATGAATAACTTGCAAATATTGTCTCCCACTACATCAGTTGTCCCTTCCCCCTACTCATTGTCTCCCGTGCTGTGTGGAAGCTTCTTAGTTTGATATGGTCCCATTTGTCTAGTTTCACTTTGGCTGCCTGGGCTTTTGGGATCCTGTTCAGTAAGTCATTGCCTAAACCAACATCTCAGAGTTTTCTTCTAGTGCTTTCACAGTTCCAGGTCTTACATTAGAACGCTTAGGCAAGAGAGAGAGATGAAAGGCATACAAATGGAAAAGGAGAAAACCACATTATCCCGACCTGCAGATGACATGGTTCTACAGAGAGAGAAACCTAAGGGCTCTGCCAAGGGATGATTTGAGTTGGTAAATGAATTCAGTAAAGTTTGCAGGATACAAAATCCACGCCAAAAGTCAATAGCATTTTTATACACCAATGATAAACTCACTGAGAAAGAAATTATAAGAACAATCCCATTCACAATAACTACACAAAAATAAAATATTTTGAAATCAATTTAACCAAGGATGTGAAAGATCTCTACAGTGAAAGTTATAAGACATTAAGGAAGAAACTGAAGATAATACAAAACCTCCATGTTCATGTATTGAAAGAATATTATTAAAATGCACATATTATCTTAAGCAATTTACAGATCCAACTTAATCTTCATAAAAATGCTAATGACATTCTTCACAAAACAAGGGGGGGAAAGCCTAAAATTCTTTTGGAAGCACCAAAGTCCCTGAATGGCCAAAACAATCCTGAGTTAAAGGAACAAAGCTGGGGGCAGTGTAATACCAGATATCAAGGCATACAAAAAATACTTGTAAACAAAGCCACCTGATACTGGTATAAAAACAAAGTGGAACAAGATGGAGAACCCAGAAATGAATCTATCCTGGCTAATGATCTACATCAACGCAGGAGAGAGACAGTCTCCTTAATGAATGGTACTGGGGAAGCTAGACATCCATATGCAGAATATTGAAACGTAACACTCCCCACACACCTCTCACCCTGTATTTATGAATTTTTGGGGGAAGTGCAATACTGTTGACCACAAAGGCTGCACTAATTTACATTCTCATGAACAGCATGCAAGGGTTCCCTTTTCTTCACATCCTCATCAATACTTGTTATCTTTTTCCTTTAGATAATAGTCATCCTAACACATTTTAATGTATATCTCACTGTGATTTTGATTTGCATGTCCCTATGGGTAGTGATGTTGATCCTATGTTCACATATCTGTGGCTATTTGTATGCTTCCTTTTGAGAAATGTCTGTCTGGGTCCTTTGCTCATTTAAAAATTTTATTTATTTATTTGAGAGGCAGAGAGACAAACAAACAGAGCTGCCATCTACTGGTTCATTCCCTAAATGTACACAATGGCTGCAGGGTAGGCCAGGGCCCGAGCCAGGAGGTCATCGTTTGCTGCCTCCTAGGGTCTACACTGGCAGGAAGCTTAAGTCAGGGGCAGATCCAGAACTCAATCCAGGCACCCCATTTACGGGAGTCTTCACTGCTAGGCCAGATGTCCACACTCGGCCATTTGTTACTGCAGTTGTTTTCTGCTATGCAGATGGATGAGTTCCTTATGTACTTTGATATTAACTCCTTATCAGATACATGATCGGCAAATATTTTTTCCATTTGGTAGGCTACCTCTTCACTCTGTGAATTGTTTCCTTTGCTGTACATAGCCTTTTTTTATTTCTGAATTGGACTTATTAATTAATTCAGAAGACTTTTAATACTTGCAAGAACATACAGGATCTCAAATGTGATTATTATGTTTTTAGGAAAGACAAAAAAGCTGTGCTTACAATAACTCATTACCCTGTTAATTAACAATCTGAAAAAAAATCAAGTAAGAATTATTCACTTATAAAGAAAAATGCATCAATTAACATTCTGGGGTCTGGTGTCCTCATTTTCCCCTAAACTAGTGTGTCTTATAAATTAAGCGTTATTTTTAAGACTACTTTGAAATTATTATAGACTCACAGGAAGTGGCAAAGGTTTATGAAGAGGAACTGTGCACACGTCACTCACTTTGCTTCATTAATTAAGTCTCACATAGATATGTAATAATATCAAACGAAAAGAACTGAGAGTGGCATAAATTGTGTGTATTGTTCACTTTCCCACATGTATTAGCTTGTATAAACACAATAGCATTCAAGATATAGAACTATTTCATCACTACAAATTTTCTCCCTCAAAATAGCTTATCCCTTGTGAGGGTGGGGAGTATTCACCCTGCATACCCTATAATGTTCATGAAATCATTTGATCTGGCCCTACTTAGACTACTGCGGGTGTGATTTGAAATTCAATAAGCCTATAGTAAGCTAATTTTTAAGCCAGTAATTTTGTATGGCCCATGAATGATATTATAAAATATTAGCAGACAAAGGTTCACCACCCCTGTTGGGGAGTCACACCTACACCCCCTCACTGATCTAAGCCTGTTTCTGCATTGTAAGCAAGTGTAAAAGATAACTCTATTTTAGGAATTTTAAATGATTCAGTGCATTAACAGTGAAAACTATCACTTCAAATCTTATAGCATACTTTATGAAAATATAAAAATAAACTTCAATATGAATTGCTTTAAATATTCTGAAGAGAACAAATATATCTAAATTTTCTATGGATCAATTGGTTTTCTGAAGCCATGAAGGCCTGAATTCTAGCAAGTAGTTTTCATGTAAATAGATTTTTTTTCTTGCTATCATGAGCAACTTGTAAAATTGAGGCAATAGAGTCATCCAATTTATGAGATAAATGAATTATTAAAACACATCTACACCACTATTTAGGTAATATACACAAGGATTATCTGAATTTGAATTGATTTACTCCTGTAATTATCCCTTTATTAGTTTATCTTGTCTTTTTTAACCTATAAACATTATCCAGTAAACAATGATGCCAAGAACACACCAGCACCAGTCCCAAAGCATCTCTCGCTCTCTCAAACTATGTAAGTTGTTATACTCAGGAGTAGATACCATGGGCCGGCGCTGTGGCATAGAAGATTAAGCATCTGCCTGCAGTGCCGGCATCCCATATGGGCAACAGTGAGTCCTGGCTGCTCCGCTTCCAATCCAGCTCCCTGCTGATGGCCTGTGAAAGCAGGGGAAGATGGCCCAAGTGCTTGGGCCCCTTGTGCATAGATTTTAAATTTGATACCATCAGTACATTTCTATATTTTTGCTTTTGTTGCCTGTGCTTTGGATATTGTATCAAAAAAAAATCTTTGTCAAGATCAATATCAAGAAATTTTCTCCCATGTCTTTTCTTTTGCTAGTAGTTTTTACTGCTCCAGATTTTTTGTTTGTTTGTTTTTAAAGATTTATTTATTTACTTGAAAGTTGGTTACACAGAGAGAGAAGGAGAGGCACAGAGAGAGAGAGAGAGAGGTCTTCCATCCAATGGTTCACTCCCCAGATAGCCACAAAAGCTGGAGCTGCGCTGATCCAAAGCCAGGAGCCAGGAACTTCCTCTGGGTCTCCCACATGGGTGCAGGGGCCCAAGGACTTGGGCCATCTTCTACTGCTTTCCCAGGCCACAGCAGAGAGCTGGATCAGAAGTGGAGCAGCCAGGTCTTAAACTGGTGCCCATATTGTATGCTGGTATTGCAGGCGGCAGCTTTTACCCGCTACACCACAGTGCCGGCCCCCACTGCTTCAGTTCTTATGTTTAAGTCTTTACTGCATTTTGAGTTGCTTTTGTATATGGAGTGAGAGCGGGGTCCAGTCTGTCCTTCTACACATGGATGTCCAGTTTTCTCTACACCATTCGCTGAAGAGATTAACACCCATTGTGTTCTTGGCACCTCTGTTGAGATTAAGTGGCCACAAAGGTGTGGATGTGCTTCTGGCCTCTGTCCTATTCCATGGTTCATGTGTCTGTTTTGTGAAAGCACCATGCTGTCTTGATTACCATAGCTTTGTAGTAGACTTTCAGATCAGGTAGTGCCTCTCACAAGATACGCCATCTGTGTATGGCTGCGAATTTATTATTAGAGGGGATTCCAAGTGGGGAACCTCCTATTCTCCCATCTTGACAAGTCATTGTTTTTTAATTGTTTACTGAATTTGGAGACACTGGACATCACCTCCTAATGCGAATTTGATACTTTACCCTTGATTAGAGTGGATATCTATACAACTCAAATATTGACTGTCCCATGTCTGCTTGTTCTAAATGTGAAAACAATAAAGCAATCCTTGTCAGGTGAGAAAACTAAGCCCAGAGGATCTACTTACTACCATTTATTTTAATGAGAGAACTGCCAATAATATTATAGGGAAGAGTTTTTACTCTGTAATACACACTTATAGTCACATATAATTTAATTTGTACATGGAATTCTGAAACTTCACTCTGCTCCCCAATAACAATAAAACAACACACTCCAAACAGTGAGGAAGCTAAAGAGTTTTTCAACTTTTCTTTTTGTTTTCTTGCACCATGACTGATACGGAAAAAAATTGTTTTTATTAATTATACAAAGTTGCAGGGCAAGTAGAATTACTCTGTCTTATCCTGAGCTTGCAGAGGAAAGAGTTCAAAATTAAAATTTCACATTACCACGTGACCAAAGCCTACATTCAAAATAAGTCATCAGAAAAGCAAATACAAACACAATAAAGCAATGAGACCAGATAAATGCAGTCATTTTAGTGAACCAACCTGACTAGCCAGGATGCTAATTTAAAAAAAAAAAAAAAAGCGACTGTATTCCTCTGCTAACACTTCAGACGTGCGCCACAGGACCAGCCCTTTTCGTCTCTGGAGAAAATCCTGAGTGGATCTCATAGAGTTCCCATCCGCTTGCATCACAACAGGGCTCACATCAGTGAACTGGCCCAGAGACATAACAAGACCTTCCAACACTCGTCCTCTTGGAGCTCCCCCTTCAGTCCCTGCTTGGTGCTTCCTGGGGCCCGGGAGCCTGCATGGCTGGTTGAGGGCTTCTGCTTGGCTAATCTTGCTGACCTTCTCGTCCACCTAGCAGCTGCTCTTCCAAACCAGTCCTGACACGGTTCCCGGAGGAGCAGGGGCAAGGAGACAGGGGCTGGTGTGACTGTGGCCGTGCCCAGAGGACTTGATGGGGATCCCTTGCTCCCCTGACTCTCCGGGGTTCGTGGAACGCCATCACGAGAACTCACCGCTGGTGAGTTACGGGACGGAGGAGTTCTGGGCTTTAAGCAGAATCTTTCTCAGGTCGGTTCCAGACCTCTCCCACTGGTCCGTTTGGTTCCGAGAACACACTTGCGCTTTTCCGCCTGGCTCAGCTGCTGTCTCCTGCCTCTCTCTGTGTTCTGAGCCACAGCCTCTTGTGTCCGTCCGGAGCTCCCCACAGTCCAGGGAGCACCTCCCCATCTGATTGATCCTCTTGAAGGCTCCCTTTGATGGAGATGGGGAAGCACTCTCCAATCTCCACAGCTTCCACCATGCCAACAACTCTCTTCCAGGGTTTTTTTTCTCTTGTAATTCTTAAGCCTCTCTCCTCTATCCTCAGCCATCCCTGTGCGTTCTTGCTCCGGATGCTGAACTAGGAAGTGCAGTCACCGCCTTAGAGACCCTGTGCTGGCAGTTTAACTTTGCAATCAGGATGTTTGTCACCTGTTTGCATCCTCTTCTCTGGGACCTCTGTCTCTGACCCGCGGCATAAAGAGTCTCGTTTTAATATTCTGTTACATAAACTGATGGCAAAGTAGAGTTAACACCTGGCTGATATTTACCCAAAAAAGATCAAATAGAAGGACAGATCCGTGTTGACAAACTGGATGTGGCCTCTGAGTCCCCTCCCTGTCCCCCAGGGAGCAGCTGGACGAGCTGTGCTTCACCTCAATGTGCATCAGCGAGACGTTCCGCCTGTTTCCTCCAGTCCCGGCCGTTTCCAGAGAACTCAGCAAGCCCCTCACCTTCCCGGACGGCCGCGCGCTGCCTGCAGGTCTCTGCCCTCTCTTCCTAAGCACTTCCTGAAGACAGTGGGCTCCTAGGGACCACAGTGACAAACACTGCAAGGTTCCTGAGCTGTCAGAGAAGTCAAAGATAATCCTGAGGACAGCTGGCTTAGGTTTGGGCACCTTAAGAGCTCAGAAAATGTGAATTGCAATGACTTTCCCAAAGACGCATAGCCAGGTGCAGCAAAACTAAGCCCGGAAGTCACACCCCCGGAACCCCAGCCCCGCGTTTCTTCCCCTGGGGGACATTGGTGCTGAGGTCATCGTTGTCTGACCAAGTTTGAAACCTCATGGGAGCTGAGGGAGCTGAGCAAGTTTATCTCTATCCGGGAGACCCAGGAAGGAGAAAGAGGGGCGTACACCAGGGTGGGGTCTTTGTCCTCATCACCGTAGTCACTCTCACAAGCGTGCACCACTCCATAGTTCACACAGAGCCCTTCAAACACCTTACCTGGTTTTCCCCTTGAGCGTGATCTTAACAGACACATGTGCAGTGTTTGACAGTTTCTGAAACCCTTTTAAACATTTGTGATGAGCCAGAAACCCACTGGGGGAGCACACTGTGCAGTTGAGGTTGGCCGATGTGGGCAGAGCTGTCGGAGGCCGGTGCAAGGAACCTAAGGTGGCCCAGAACGGCACAGGTGTCTGAGCAGTGGTCCGCTGATGCCGGCCTTAGGAAACAGCCAACAGTGCTGTTGTAGCCGACAGCTGCCGCTGTCACTGCAACTCCGTTGACAGACCCAGACTCACTTCATCAGAACAGCTTCTGTTAGCCCAGTAATCCTCACATTCTCCTCCCTTCCATGCTGAACCACATGGACATTTCCAGAAATTTCATACCGTCCACGTATCAACAGCAGTGACAGGAACTTGCCATTGGAGCCACATGATGGAATTCAACTCTGGTTCTTTGCACCCAAACTGTCTCAGGGGGAGATTTAGAGGCCATAACAGAGATTTAAGTAATTTCCAAAGATAATAGAAGCCATAAGCATAGTTTATGATTCTGACATGGCACCAACTGCTCCTTAAAGTGGAACCATGTAATCCAATTAAATCGCTGTTTTGAAAACTAAGATGCCAGTGCAAACCTCTTTTCTTTCCCTCCTTTCTCAGGAATGATCGTGGTCCTCAGCATCTGGGGTCTTCACCACAACCCTGCTGTCTGGAAGAACCCAAAGGTGTGGCTCTCTCACACACACACACACACACACATACACGCACACACACTTCGAAGAGCGAGTTTTGTGCTGTTCACCTTCTGGCAAGCGAGCCTGCAAGTGGCCCCTCAGTTAAGGCAAATGATACAAAGAAAACAAAAATAAGCACAAACCAATAAAAGATCATATGGGGCATATTCCCATATCCCTGGTTGAAGTTCAAGTCCCAGCTCCATTTCGGATCCAGCTTCCTGCTGTTGGACACCCTGGGAAGCAGCAAGGATCCCTGCCACCTACATAGGAGATTCAAATTGAGTTCCTGGCTCCTGGCTTCAGCCTGGCCCAGCCCCAGCTGTTGCAGGTGTTTGGGGAGTGAACCAGCAGATAGAAGATTCTCTGTCTCTGCCTTTCAAAATAAATAAATAGATGGATGCCTAGATTAGATAGGTAGATAGGTAGATAGATAGATAGATAGATAGATAGATAATTTTTAAAACCTTTTGCACTCAAATGAAGTTATCCTCTTCTGTTCCTGTTCTGTCTTTACCTTTGAATGAACAGGTCCACTGATGCCACACAGTCTGTTCTCAGCCCCCACAGTCTGTGGTCCTGCCCTTAGCTGGATGTCAGATTGTGATCTGTTAATTGTGTACTCCAGGTAACTCGCTTTTGCTGGATGGAAAAGATTCCCAGGCAGAAATCCATGACGTGCTCAAGTTGGGCAGTTTGAATATTTTATAAAGGAACTATTAACAAAGATATGAATGGGTTTGAGGAAAAGTGGAGCAAATCCCTACCAGAAGTGCTTGGTCCTTGTGGCCTGGCAGGCATGGGAGGGAAGGGTACAGAGCCTGGAAGGAGGGTGCTTCTGGGGAAAGCTGTGGAGAGACACGATCACACTGATGCAGCCAGTGGCAAGGAGCCCGGGGAACAGAAGCCCTCAACTCTCCCTCTCTCCAGATGCCCTGTCAATGCCTCTTACTGACCAAACCCAACAGGAAGCCATGGGCGCCAGCTTCCTGGAGCCCTGAAGAGGGAGGGAGAAAGGAGAGAACATCTAGACAGGCAAAAAAAGATTGAAGCAAGCCTGAGATCTTCGATTCAGTGTTTGTTTGTTTCTTACTACACATTGCCTATTGCTTTATCATTTTTTTGAAATACTTATTTAGTTCAACAGCAGGAAAGTCACCTGAAGTTTAGCTATTACATTCATCAGAAGAAGAAATATCTGTCAAGTGGGCGCATGTAGACTACAAATTTGACATCCAGTTAAAGTCTAGCTTGGTGGCAAACACGAAAAGTACTTGAGGCGCTTCTCACATCTCCATGGCAGCTTCTTAGAGTTTGGCGCCTTCAGTGTGCTGGTCCCACAGGGAAATTGGCTCAGCACACTCTTAGTTTCTTATCTTTACTTCCAAGAGGTACTGTTTCTTTTTTTATTTTTATTACTATAAAGAGAACAGATTTCATGTATTTCATAGAACAAGTCTGAGAAGATAGTCCACACTTCCTCCTCTTCCTTTTTTCTTTTTTCCTGTGAGTTTCACAACAATATGATTTTAATTTACTTGAGTTCCTGAACCTCGAAACACTCCCAGCCTTCTTTCACAGAGGCCTGTGAGGTCAAGCTCTGTTACACTTGTCCCAGTAACAACTGACCTCCCACTCATCTCAGCCTCACTTCCAAGTGGATGCACTCTCACCTCCAAGGTGAAGACCAGACCAGTTACCACGGCAGGCTTTTTGCCTCCCTCCTACTTAGTCTGAATAGCAGACAAGCCCATTAGGAGGCCAGCCAGGGTCTGCAGGTCAGGAGGCGCGGTGTCCAGTGGAGCGGCGGTTAGCCAAAACTGTTGCTGAGCACTTGAAATGTGCCTTCTCGGAGCTGAGATGTGCTGTCCGTGTAACGGATGCACTGAATTCTGAAGACACAACACCAGACAAAAAGTGAAATACCTCCTCAATAACTATTTATTTTGATTGCATGTCAGAACAAGTTTTGGTTAAATCAATTCTACTCATAAAATTAGTTTTGCCTTTTTTAAAAAAGATTTATTTATTTTACTCGAAAGTCACAGTTACACAGAGAGAGGAGGAGAGGCAGAGAGAGAGAGAGAGAGAGAGAGAGAGATCTTCCATCTGATGGTTCACTCCCCAATTGGCTGCGACAGCTGGAGCTGCGCTGATCTGAAGCCAGGAGCCAGGAGCTTCTTCCAGGTCTCCCACGTGGGTGCAGGGCCCAAGGACTTGGGCCATCTTCTACTGCTTTCCCAGGCCACAGCAGAGAGCTGGATAGGAAGTGGAGCAGCCGGGTCTTGAACTGGTGCCCATATGGGATGCCGGCATCACAGGCGGCGACTTTATCCACAATGTCACAGCGCCAGCCCCAGTTTTGCCTTTTATTTTAAAAAATGTGTTTACCAGAACACTTTAAACTTCACACATGATCCATATTGTACGTCTGTTGGTCAGCACTAGGTAGTCGCTGAAGAAATGTGTTCAGTGCTGTCTGGGAGTTGGCGGTGGCGCTCTGCTGTCATTTCAGGTGTTCGACCCTTCGAGGTTCTCTAAGGAGAATTCTGCTCAGAGACATCCTCATGCCTTCTTGCCATTCTCAGCTGGTTCACGGTGAGAACGCCTGAAGCTGTTCAGAATACACAGAAGTGTCTGGTTAGGGACCAGCATGCTCCCTTCAGCCTCTCTGTCCTCTAAACTCTGCCCTGGAACCCCACCTTCTCCCCTGACCGTGAGATGGACTCAGTGCCTATCCGAGCCCCTTATAGGGTCAGCTGAAGTCGCAAAGGACATCCTTTCCCTGCCACACACCGTGTAGCTGGCCTCAGCAGTGACCCAGGGGTGGATGTGGTTGCTCACCACCGGCTCAGTGCGGGAGGAGCCACTCTCTGAGTGGCTTCAGTGCTGCCTCGTGGGGAGGACAGCACACTGGAGCCTCACAGGAAACAGTGCTGATCAAAAGTCCCGAAGTTCCCACGGCATTGAGTATGAAAACGCCGCTTTGCTGGGTTCTCCCTTGTTGCTCCGGTAACTTATTAAGGAATCTGACAAGCATCCCCTCTGCAAACATCTCTTCCTTCCCCCGCTCTCTGCAGGAACTGCATCGGGCAGCAGTTCGCCATGCTCGAGTTGAAGGTGGCCATCGCCTTGATTTTGCTCCGGTTCAAAGTGGCCCCAGCTTCCCCCACGCCTCTGGCCTCCTCCAACCACGTCATCCTCAAACCTAAGAATGGGATCCACTTGCGCCTGCAGAAACTCCCTGCATGTCCAATCCCAGGGTATGGTGATTAAATGCATTTTGTTTTCAAGTTAAATTCACAGCTAATAGCCCAGGCAAATGCAGGGCAACCAAAGTGTCCTGGGAGAGTGGGGGTGGGGAGGCAAGGGCACCTTGGGAGCAGCCTGTTATGCAAACACACTTTTAAGTAACGTGGAGTGATGCCCGTGTCTGTTTCCGTGTGACTGTGGGAGAGTTTTGGATTTTTTCTGTTGGAGTCTGACTACTGTTAGTGCCATATACCAAGCACTTTGTCAGGTGACTTCAGTGTATTTTCTGTTGCTTTTAAAGTAGTTTTCAGAGTCCCACAGGTGGGGGGGGGGGAGGTGTGTAAGTTCACCGTAAACTATTTGCAATATTAGAAAAGCACTTAGAAGGCTGAAAATCCCACTTCACCAAGCCTACATTCCATACTCTGACCAAGTCTCTCCCAAAACCAATGCTTTTCCTAAAACAGAATATTTTCGTGTGCATTCTTTCAGACTTTTTCCAGAATGTTCCATGTGTACATATGTATGTATGTGTTCTTATAAAGGCATTATATCTGCATTGTTCTTGGTTTTTCACTAAATAAAAACCCACCTCATTCCTTAAGGTGGCTCCATGGTATTCTTTAATATGGATGTACTATGATGTACTTCATTATTTTTCCCAGTGGATATTTAAGTTCTTTATTATTTCAAAGGCTGTTTCCTGGGCCATTTTTATCTTTTTTTTTCCTCTGTGATTCATGTGTGTACATTGTCTATGTTTGTTTTTGTATTGGATTCTCTTTTTTCTTGTGGATTGATATGAATTCTTTATACAAGTATATTGTATATAAGTAATATATACAATAGTATATAATAATATAATATATAATAAATAATAAATAATAATATATAAAATAAATAATCTTCGAATATTTATATATATAACTTTTATTTGTTATTTTTCCCATTCTTTTACTTTAAGTGTTCCTCATTCTATTTACGAAGTTGTCTTTATTTCAGTTCTTAATACATAAATATATGTAAATTCCTTTGGTGAACTGCAAACATTTACTACAGAAATAAATACATTGATCTTTTTCAAGAAAAACTACAAATATGCCAGTTTTCCTTTTTTTTAACGAGAGAAGGGGAAGCACTGATTATTTTTTAAAAGATTTATTTATTTATTTGAAAGTTAGAGTTACACAGAGGGAGAAAGAGAGGCAGAGAAAGAGAGGGGAAAAGGTCTTCCATCCGCTGGTTCACTCCTCAGATGGCCGCAACTGATGGAGTTGGGCCAATCCAAAGGCAGGATCCAGGAACCTCTTCCAGGTCTCCCACACGGGTGCAGGGGTCGAAGAACTTGGGCCATCTTCCTCTGCTTTCCCAGGCCATAACAGAGAGCTGGATTGGAAGTGGAGCAGCCGGGACTCGAACCAGCACCCATATGGGATGCCGACACTGCAGGTGGCAGCTTTACCCGCTATGCCACAGAGCTGGCTCCCAAAGTTGGTTTTGTTTTGTCTCTTTGGGTTTGTTTTTTTTTTTTTTTTTTTTTTTTTTTGACAGGCAGAGTTAGACAGTGAGAGAGAAAGACAGAAAGAAAGGTCTTCCTTTACCATTGGTTCACCCTCCAATGGCCACTGCGGCTGGTGCACCACGCTGATCCAAAGCCAGGAGCCAAGCACTTCCTCCTGGTCTCCCATGGGGTGCAGGGCCCAAGCACTTGGGCCATCCTCCACTGCACTTCCCTGGCCACAGCAGAGAGCTGGCCTGGAAGAGGGGCAACCGGGACAGAATCCGGCGCCCCAACTGGGACTAGAACCTGGGGTGCCGGCGCTGCAGGCAGAGGATTAGCCTAGTGAGCCGCAGCACCGGCCTTAAATCAATTCTACTCATAAAATTAGTTTTGCATTTTTTTTTAAGATTTATTTTACTTGAAAGTCACAGTTACACAGAGAGAAGAGAAGCAGAGAGAGAGAGAGAGAGAGAGAGGTGAACGGCCAGTGCTGGGCCAGGCCAAAGCCAAGAGCTAGGACCTTCATCGGGGTCTCCCACGTGGGTGGCAGGAGCCTAAGCATTTGGGCCATCTTGTGCTGCTTTCCCAGGCACTTTAGATGGGAACCGATTGGAAGCAGAACAGCCAGGACTTGAACTGGTGCCCATGTGGGATGGCAGCCCTTGTAGGTGAAAGTTTAACCTACTGCCCACAGCACCAGCCCATATGATGGCTTTTACCATATGGAACTTTTAAATGTTTATGAAGTAAGATACATAAATCTTTATCCTTTTTTAAAGGATTTAATTATTTTATTTGAAAGGCAGAGTTACAGACACACACACACACACACACACACACAGATCTTTCATCTACTGATTCACTCCCTAAACAGCCGTAACTGCCAGAACTGGGCTGATCCAAAGCCAGGAGCTTCTTGTAGGTCTCCCACGTGGGTGCAGGAACTCAAGGACTTGGGTCATCTTCTACCACCTTCCCAGGCCATAGCAGAGAGCTGGATGGGAAGTAGAGCTTCCTGGACTCGAACTGGTGCCCATGTGGGGTGCCAGCACTATAGGGGGTAGCTTGACCTGCTGTGACACAGCGTAGACCCCACATAAACCTTTCTTTAGGGTTTCTAGGCTTTGAGTCTTGGCTGAGAAAGCCTTCATTAGAATATTATAAAGGACCTTCTGCATGTTTTCCTGGTACCCACCACCTCTGGGGAACCCAACCAGGCATGTCTTAATGATTTCCAGACTCATCACTCATCTGAGGCCACTGAGACAGGCAGACTTGTTTTTAAGTGCAGAGGAGGACTTCAGAGGACTTCGCCCACCAGCGGGTTGTGCAGCGACTTGAGTTTCGAGGAAATTTTGCTTCTGCTGCACGGAGGTGTGAGAAGGGCAAGAGCGGAGCCGCACAACAGTTAGGAAGCTGTTGCAACAGCACAGGGAAGAGACAATGGCAGAGGTGGAGCTGAAGGGAAGTGGATGTGGCCTGGGCCGTGGTGGCATTTGATAGAGTGGCTAGAACTCGTTCAAGGATTGGAAGTAGGGCGTGATTGAAAAGGGAGAATTAACGATTTGTGAAGACTGCCCAAGGCTATAGCATCCAATCCTAGGACTGCGCTTCATAACCCTGGGCCCAGAACGCTCTGGCCATCCTCCACCTTGACTTCCTGCACGTTTCAATCACAAGCAGGTGCATTGTGGGACCAAGAATTCCCTTACCCAGACGCAAAAGCCACCACCTTGGAGTTAACAAAACCTGTATCCCACTAAGCATGAGTGAAATGATAGAGAGGACTTAGCCTTCAAAGGTAGTAGTGTCAAATGCCTCTTAGAGAAACAGCTGGCAACGTCCAAAGATCTCTGACCCAGCTTTCCTGTGTCTTCTCCGTGCCCATGTGCACTCCTGGGGAAGACCACTCACCAGCTGAGGGAGCCTCCATTCCACTGGTTTAACTGGCAACCTCTGATCAGTGTAGTGCCAGGTAGTGCTTACCCGACCATGGGGGCTATGGTCATGAGTGCTTGGGGGATTCTGGAACTCACACTGAAGTGAACCCTGACAAGAGGGACTCCATTTTAGAGCAGCTGAGCCTCCATCTTGAGAAAGCACCCCGCACTGTGAGACTATGGTCTGAAACTAACTGTGGTCTACAACGAAGGCAGTAACAGTACACTGCACCTCGCTTGGCAGAACATAGAGATTCCCTGGCATGATCGCTCCAGCTTAAAACAGATGGGCTGCACCTGGATTCATGTTTACATTATAATTTGTCTATGTCCCACATGTGATTCAGGCCGGCACCTGGACTGATGTCAAGATTGTAATTGGTATTAGTTTCACATATGTTTTAGGTCAACTAGACCCTAGCAACATGTATTCCCCCTCCCCCCCTTGTGGTCTGTGCCTTTATAAGCCCCATTGCTCTGAGCTTCAGGGTCAGGAGATCTTCAGGGCATGAACCCACTCTCCATCGCCGGCAATAAAGGACTCCAAAGTGTATCAGTGTGTGGCACTCCTGTCAGCACTCGCTCAGGCACAACAATGGCAGTAATTACTTTTGTGGTGAGGTTATCAATTTCCTTTACAAATTAACCTGTAAGGCCTACTGCAAATCTGGATGAATCATGATTGCAGAATTATAAATGTAAGTTTCATGGTCAGCACGGTCCCTGATCCCTGACACTGTTTCTGTTTTAAGCAACCCCACCCAGTCCAAGTTCAAATGATAGGCTGCTTGTGGCAGAGATGACCCGGTGTCCCTTCAACACTCTTTGTCCACTCTTATTGAAACGGAATCAAACATGTAAAAGTATTAAATCCACTAGGACAAAGGACAAAGGATAGTCAAAAGAAACAGAAGGATTGTTTCATAGTAGGACTAAATCATTACTTATCAATAATACCTTTGAATGTAAGTGGTCTAAATTTCCCAGTTAAAAAATACAGGCTGGGAGCCAGTGCTGTGGCATAGTGGGTAAAGCTGCTGCCTGCCGTGCTAGTATCCCATATGGGCACCAGTTTGAGTCTCGGCTGCTCTACTTCCAATCCAGCTCTCTGCTAATGTGCCTAGGAAAGCAGTAGAAGATGGCCCAAGTCCTTAAACCCCTGCATCAACATGGGAGATCCAGAAGAAGCTCCTGGCTCCTGGCTTTGGATCAGCACAGCTCTGGCCATTGTGGCCATATTGGGAGTGAACCAGCAGGTGGAAGACCTCTCTCTCTCTGTCTCTCTGTAACTCTGTCTTTAAAATAAATAAATAAATCCTTACAGGCTGGCTGAATATTTTTATATGTATTATATTTATACATATATATATATGTATGTATGTATGTATGTATAGTTCAACAATATGCTGCCTATAAGAAACTCACCTTACAGGAAAAGACAAACACAGACTGACAGAGAAAGGATGGAAAAATAAAATCCATGCAGACAGAAACCAAAAGTAAGCTCGAGTAGCTATACTTTTATCAGACAAAACAGACTTTAAGACTAAAACTATAAAAAGCGACAATTCTAACAATCGAGGGATAAATTCAACAAGAATACAGGATGATTTCAATGTATGTACACCTAACGCTGGCGCACCCATTTTATACAACAAACATAATTGAGTCTAAAGGGAGAGATAAGTTCCCGTATGATAGTAATGGGCACCTCAACACCCCACTTTCATCAATTAACACATTGTCCAGGCAAAAAAAAATCATTAAAGAACCATCTGGGTAAACTACACTGCAGACCACATCACTGAACCAGTACTCGGAGGGCTCCAAGATGGAGGAATAGGAAGGGAGCACACTGATAGTCCGGGAAAAGATAGTTTAATAAAAGTGGAGATTCTGTAGTTTCAGGAAAAAGTTAAGGAAAAAAACTGCAGAGGAAGCTCTTCCAGAACTAGTGGGACATGGTGGACCTACGAGGAGGGCATGGGCACCCACGGCTCAGGACCCCAGCCGCCGAGTCCATGCACCAGCACTGGAAAGGGAGGTGAGACAAGGCAGCCGCCACTGCTGCCCCCGACCCACCCTGGGACGGACAGGTGAGACACACACAACTGAGTGGGCGAGGAAATCAAAACAAAGTGAATAGCGCCCATGGGAAAAGGG